TCCCGCAGGCCGACATCCTGGCCGTCGTCACTAGCCTGCAGCTTGAGGTCCATGACGCTTTGGGAGCAGAGAGGCTGTTCACACACCCAAGGGGATGGGTCTTCTTTGTCTTGATTAACTGGAAATCAAAATGAAAAGTATGAATGGATTTTAGCTGAGAGAGTCTGTTCTAGGTAATCAAAGTGGATAGACCTGAAGAAAACACGTCCACTTTCACTGACATGCAGTAACAAGTGCGCCTCGTCTATGGTGAAGTTAATGTATATACACATACATATATCATGTATGTATATACACACACACACACCCATATGTAGACAGATGCATTGGTATAGTTATTTCTCACTGCTCACCTTTCATGGCAAAATATGAATACACAATAACAAGTACTTAATGATACAGCAAACAAACAAAATTAAATGCTAGCCAACCTCTTCCTGCCTCCCAATGAAGCGAAATAAAGACGCGCCGGCTTGATTCCCGCCGAAAACAAACCGGCGGAGGACAAAGACACGTGACTCGCTGTGCTTCTGCGTTTTATCGTTTCCTTCCATTTCCCGGAGCCTTTTCATTGGGCTATGTAGTTAATTCCGACTAACGATTCCGATATATTGAAAGGATAGTAACTCTGTTATAACTAATATTTCAAAAATGAATTCCGTTAACTCTTCTAAGCCTTCAATGTATTACAATAGTTTTTTTTTCTCCCTTTTCTTGTCTATCTAATCGTAGTTATCAATATTTTCGGCAATGACCATCAGTAACTTGCTTCGGCAATGTATTAATTAGTGGACCGGTAAAAAGGACGCGTTTATTCAGTGTTTAACCTTGTAGACACCGCGGATTACTGATGCCGGCTTTCATTTTCGAAATCCCCCCCCCCCCCCCGTTTTAATTTTCGAAATTCCCCCTTCGGTGCTGAATTTCTTCTCTGTGACGGAGTTTCCGGAGAGCAAGAAACGTTTTCCCTTAAAGGTGAGAACTTACCTGGGAAAGCGACTGCCGTGTTGCTATGCTCGCTCTCTTCCTTTATCTAGCCTCCTCTCTTTCCCTACTTTTATCTCTGTTCTCTCCTCCCTCTTTCTATTTCCTCCCTTTACTCTTCTCTTTCTCTCTTCCCACTCTCCTCTCCCTTCTGTTATCTCTATTCTTTCTTCCCTATTTCTTTCTCCCTTCCTTTATCACTTTCCCTCCCTCCCTCTCACTTATCTCTGTTCTTTCCTCTCTTTCTATCTCCCTTCCTCTCTCTACTCTCCTCTTTTTTTCTATTCCTCCTCCTCTCTCCCTTCCTTTTCTTATCTCTGTTTTTCCCTTCTTTCTATCCCCCTTCCTTTATCGCTTTCCCTCCCTCCTTTACTCTCCTTTTTCTCTCTTCCTCTCTTTCTCCTTCTCCTCTCTCTCTCTCTCCCTTCTCTTATCTGTTCTTCCCTCCCTCTTTATATCGCCCTTCCTCTCTCGCTTTTCCTTCCTCCCTCTCTCTCCTCCCTTTAATCCTGCTTTGTTAATGGATTCCTTTCTCCTCTAAAATTAAATAATGAAAAATACGGACCAAAACAATGAAATCCTCTTTTGATTTTCCTTTAATAAGAATAAAACTTCATATCTCCCCCTAAAAAAAAACAAAAAAACTAAGGATATTTTTTAGGTGGGGGGTTACAAAGAAAAAGATAAATAAATAAAAATGAGCACAAATATATCTATTTTTTTTTTAAATCCCTCATACACAATAGACCAGACGTAGTTTAAAGTAATTTACTTATCTCTTTACTTAATTATCTGGAATTACTTTATTCAAATTACCTGGCGTTGACGTCTTTCCCGGCCGGGCCAAGACGGAGCTCGCGTTCATCACGTCCGTCCTCCTCGAGCGCATCTCCTTAACTGCGCGAGAAGGCAATACTAATGTGCAATACTAATCCAATACAATACAGTGTGCAATACTAATGTGCAATACTAATCCGCAATATATTTTTTTAAAGATTTCTAACCCGTTGATTTTACTTTTAAGAAATACATACATGGGTACCTAATTATTAACGTATTATGTTAAGTTAACTCTTTAACTTTTAAGAAATCTATACATAGGTACCTAATTATTACCGTATTATGTTAACTCTTTTACTTTTAAGAAATATATACATGGGTACCTAATTATTATTACGTATTATGTTAAGGTAAGTCCACGTGTGTGTAAAGAGAATAAAATGTATATTTATATTTGAAAAAAAAAAAAAAAAAACGATTTGTTCGAGACGTTTCGGGCGTTCCAAACATAACGGATTTTTTTTTTTTGTTTTTACCGGTTTGTTAAATTTTAATTTAAGTCTCTTACTATATATAGCAGCCTTTTTTGAGTATGTATATATTTTTTTTTTTATCTAGGACCGACCTCGAGATTGATGAAGCTTTTGGTGAGATTATCCAGATATGATTATTTACGAGTCACCTAAATTAAAATGGATTGATGTTTAATCATATGAAATAACTGGACGTGTAAATT